GACTTCTTGGGTGCTCTACTTGCCCTGGTTTACTTACTGGATGTTATAATTGTCCAGTGAAAAAACCACCTGGATTGGGAGGCTGTGAGTTTGTTCCTTTGGAACTTGGTGTAAACTGGGTTGGGACTGTCATATGGCTCAATGGATCTTCCAGTGCCTTAACACTGTCAGGGGGTGCAAAGACCCCAAAGAGATGGCAGGGAGATCTTCCACAATTAATATTATAGGTAAATGCATGTAAACAAGTCTCTTAAGGTCATGATATAAATAGCCCAGTTACTCACAAACATCCCAACCCTCACATCTTCATTTCCAATATGCTGATGCCTGAAAACATTCATGAAAGCCCTGTTTCTGTATTGGAATGATATTGGGGTTTCGGGAACCACCAAGCAGCTTTAACCAGGAAGGAAAGAATGCTCTTTTATTGACAAAGCCTCTTCTGGCTGCTGTGTGGGTAATGGACTAATGGAGATAATGGTACGATAGGAAGAGAAGCCTGGGGGCTACTGGAGGCTTGGACCAACGTGGTGCGGAGGATGTGGAGAGAAGCGATGAAACACTTCAACCTGCAGTTTCAGACAAGGACCGCAAAGCAAGATAAACACACACCAACCACATCCTAGCGAAAGTACTGAAGGCCAAGAGAAGCTTAAAAGCAGCAAAAGGTCACAGCCATGGCAGAGAAGCTTGGATCCGATTTACATTACTGGCAGCAATAACTGGAACTCTCAACCTTAAGGAAAACGCCAAGGCAACCGGGGGACGATGGGAGCAGGGAGAAGCCCTAGCGGCCCTGTCCCCGCAAGAGAACCCGCCCAGACGAACTCCGCATCTGGGCACAGGCACGGAGGAGCAGCAGTCTTCCTGGCCGAGTAGGCCGAAGACGGAGCCAGGGGTCGCCATAGCTGGAAACCGAGGGAGCCCCAGGGGAGACAACCCCAACTGCACGCACGTTGCCCTCACACCAGGCGCCGGCAGCGGAACCTCCTGGCCAGACCTGCAGCACCCCGTCCCGCCCCGGTCTCCGGCGGACCCTGCCCCAGCCTCCTGGCCGCTCCCGGAACCACTCCGGCCTTTGCCGCCTCCAGACGTTGCCCTCGGTGGTCCCGCCGCCCCGCTCGGCCTCGAGAGGGATTCGGGCGCCCGACCACTGTCAGCCTGGAAGCACGGAGCGCAGCACAGGAGAAGGTTACCTAGCACACTCGGCCGGGTTGCGCGGCCTTCTGGGACTTGTAGTCCACCTGCCCTGGAGGCTCAGACTACAACGCCCGGAAGGCATCGCGCCGCGCTCCGCCCAATGGAAACGCTCGGTGAACCGCCTTCTCCCCTTTCGGGGCCCACCTCCTCGCCCAGCCCTCCTCTTTCTGCTGTTGGCCTCTTGAGCGGCGGCAGTGGTCCTGGAGCTGCGTGAACGTCCTCTGGCTCTCGGCCCGGCTCAAAGCTCCCAAAGCAGGTCCTCCACGTCCCTGGGAGGATACGACGTGGGTCGCTGCACCCGGGCTAACCTGTGGGCAGCTTGCAAATATTGGAACAATCGTTCTGCTAATACGCCCACCGCAGATGGGATGTATGAAGAGGAATCCCATTTTGCAAATATACAAAAATTTTAATGTTGAGGGGAAAATGAAAAGAACCGAATCCTATGGCAATACATTTACACACATTTTCAAGAGACATAAATGCAAATGTGAATAATTAAAAGATACAATCTAAGTGGTTCCTGCTTGAGTAGACTCGGTAATGTAGAAATGTGTTTCCTAAATTAATCAACAAACTTAAGAACATCCAAACTGATTATCCAAAATTATAGCTTTTAAAAATAAATAAGCTATCAAGCCATGAAAAAAACTTGGAAGAACCTCAAATACATATTACTAAGTGAAAGAAGCCATTCTGAAAAGGCTTCATATGTGATTCCAGCTATATGACATTCTGGAAAAGGCAAAATTATGGAAACAGTAAAAAGATTGGTGATTGCCAGGGTAGAGGGAGAGATGAATAGGTGGAGTATAAAGGATTTTTAGAGTAGAGCAGTTATGTTGTATAATAATAAAAAGTTGGATACATGTCACGATACATTTGTCAAAACCCATTGAAGTCAAGTGCACCGCCATGAGGGGCGGCAGAATAGGGACACCTACAGAGCGGGCTCAACCAAGCAGGTGGGGAGCAGAAGGTGAGTATCCATGGGCAAGTCCTTTTATCGGGGGTCAGGATGGAGTACACAGGAATAGGCGGGAGAGGATATCGTTGCTACATTTGAATGTTGAAGGGAAGGGCAGAAGGGAGCTTGTGGCCAGAACTAGCCTTATCACCTAGGTAACCTGGTCACCTGGGTGGGTTGCTCACAGCCTGTTTGCATGGATATGGAGGCAGCAGGAAAATGTAGTTTTAAAATTTACAATACAACAAAATGAGTAAAGGAGGTAAAAAGGTACAAACTTCCAGTTATAAAATAAATAAGTAATGGGGATGTAATGTACAGCATAGTGACTAAAGTTAATAATATTATATTGCATATTTAATGCTATAGTTGCTATGAAAGTAGACCTTAAAAGTTCCAATCTCGGGGCGCCTGGGTGGCTCAATTGGTTAAGCGGCCAACTTTGGCTCAGGTCATGATCTCACAGCTCGAAGGCTCGTGAGTTCAAGCCCTGCGTCGGGCTCTGTGCTAACAGCTCAGAGCCTGGAGCCTGTTTCAGATTCTGTGTCTCCCTCTCTCTAACCCTCCCCTGTTCATGCTCTGTCTCTCTCTGTCTCAAAAATAAATAAACATTAAAAAAAAATTAAAAAAAAAGTTCCAATCTCAAAAAAGTTTTGTAACTGTATGGTGATAGAGGTTAGCTAGACTTATTGTGATCATTTTGCAGTGTGTACAAATATCAAGTCATGGTTGTACACCAGAAACTAATATGATGTTTTGTCAATTAGAACTCAAAAAACTACGATACAACCTACTTTGTGGTGTCTCAACATCATTAACAATACTAATTGGGATGGATAACGCTTGCCACCCAGGTTGTGACGATGTGAAAGATGACTGGTATTGCTTGACTAGCCACCAAAGGCAAACTCTGATAAAGGTGACAACTAGGAAGAGTCCTATTAGGCATGTGAGGGGGGTGTGGGACCCAGTTCTCAACCAGGGATCCCACTTGGTGGGAGAAAGTCAAGAGAACAGGTTGGGCACTCTGGATTTAAGGGAATATGTTGGAACGTTTTGGTTATGTTATGAAAGACCTTTATCTCTTAGCCTAATTTTCATAGCTTGACCTGATCTACACATCTGTCAGTATCATTAACCCCTAGTGGTATTCTGATGGATTGGTAATTCATCCAGCTGGTCTGGGTGCATGGGATATATGAGTCAATTCAAGAACCAAGTCTGGGAAAAGCCAGGTGTTCACAGCCCTATGGTGTTCCTTAGGTGTTCCCTAAGGTGTTCCCAGGTGTTCCCTTTTCCTAAGGGAAAAGACTGGGCAAAACAGCAGTAACCATTGGGAAGTTGGTATCCTAAAACCAACTCCAAAGAAAACAGTGTCCGTGGGGAGCCTGACAGTTCAAAATCAAGTCTAACGGCAGCAGTGCCCATAGGGAGATTGGAAGTCCAAAAACAAGTTCAAGGAGATACAGCAGATGAACTTATTCAGATGGGTTTGACCAGAGGCAGTTCTGAGATTGCAGGACTTCTAGAGAGTGAAAACCAAGTTCTTATATGGATCATCCTGTAGGCATGGCTGGATGAAAGGAAGACAGGAGTGGGAATTCAGGTGTTGTAAGAATTAAGCAAGAAGGTGGCAGTGGTCTGCTTCATGGTTATGTCTAGAGGGTCTTAGCATTGTCATCTGACAAACATTCAGAAAGGATAGTTTGCCTTTGGGGTACAGTGCAAGTGGAACCAATTTCTAAACCTAGGAAGCTTTACAAGCATCAAAAGATCTGGTCTCTTATTGTAACTGGTAGAGGTGAATCGAAACATGCTGTCTATATTTTGAGAACTACTGGATGGACAAAGGACAAGTATACGGGACAACCTTCTTCTATGCTATCTACTTTTCAATCCCATTTCCATATTTTGAGATGATTCGGTTAATCTCCTTTATTTTATTTTATTTTTTTAAAGTTTATTTATTTTGAGAGAACACAAGTGGGGTAGGAGCAGAGAATGAGAGAGAGAGAGAGAGAGAGAGAGAATCCCAAGCAGGCTCCACACAGTCAGCACAGAGCCTAATGTGGGGCTCCATCCCACAAACTCTGAGATCATGACCTGAGCTGAAGTCGGACGCTTAACTGAGCCACCCAGGTGCCCCTCAATTAATTTCCTCTAAAAAAACTTTTGGAGGCAGCCCCTGGAGTCTAGTTTTCTGAACGGTACCCATCAGGTGGAGGTGTACTGAATTGCTTTTTTGCAAATGCTCCCCAGAACTAACGCTCAGTACTAACGCTATTTTTGAGCTTTGCATGGATTTCGTTATTTGAATATTGCTATAACGCTGTGAGGTAGGTGCTATTTCTTCCTTCTGTTTTACAGATGAGGAAGCTGAAGTCCAAAGGGGTTAAGTAACCTGATCAAGCAAAAATGTGTAGGAAGGCAGAGATTAGGATTAGAAGTCAGGCATCTGACTACAGAGCCCTACTGCATTCTGTTTGCTTCTTATGTATGTCCCATTGAATTGTAACTGATCTTTTCTGCCTCCTCACTGGTCTGTATACTCCCTGAGGGGAGGGCCCTGGTATTATCCATATCTATACCCACAGATGTGCCTCCTTCTCCCACACCCCATCCTGTTAGTCTCCCCATTGGCTGACTTGGTTCCGTGAAGGAAGGCTGTGTTGGCAACGTTAGCTGACCTCACACTGGTGGCTCCAAGTCAGAACCCAAACATTCTGTAGAGAGCAGAGTTTCTTAGTTTCTCAGAGAAATATAGGGCAGAAACTGCACTATAGCTAAATATTTCCTTTTCTCCATGTGATAAAAGACTAACAGTTTTGGAGTGATGGACAAGGTTCAGAGTTCTTTCACCTTTCTAGTTTTGTTTTTAATGGGATGCCCACCTTTATGTTTGCCTTATGAAGGTGAGTTCAAACCAGTTGAACTAGCAACAGGCTTAATGGGTAGCTTCAACCATTGTTTTTACTTGTTTCAGGGGAGGTAAAAAGGGTTAATCATATTTCACTGCTACGAGTTTTCTTTTCAAGGTTACAATCAGTCACAAACATCCACAAATATCACTAAGCAGGAAAGTGTTTCCTCGAGACTCAGAGGTAAGTAATTGTATTACTCCTTTGGTGAAATGAGAACCATAGACTGGGGTCCTCTCATCTGCTGTATGAATGTGTCTTTTCTTGTGTATTTGTTAGGAGCATGGTCCATACAATAATATAATTAGATAAGCATTGCTTGGAAATTAATCCAATATTATTCTGTCTCTGGAAGCTGTGCTTTCTCTTTAGGGACTGGTTTGCTTCTCTTTTATTTCACTTGGCACACACAGAAACCTTGACCAAATCAGAGTGGTTTGAATGTGTCTGTATGACTTTAATTGTAATTGGGTATACGTTTGTCGGTAGACCATACGAGTCCAGATACAGATGTTTTGTGAGTGTAAAATATTCTTTATAATCATCTGTCTTCTATGCTTTGCATTTTGAGTCCTCAAGGGAACTTTGTTTATCTCAAAGCAGAGAAACTGACCCTGCCAATCTGTGAAATCAGGCAGCAACTCTTTGTGAAGATAGTGGTACTTATAAACAATCTCTATTCTGTACAAGGGAAATGCCATCTGCACAGTATAAAAGCATCTAATTTCTGTAGGAGGAAAGGGTATTGCCGTGGCTTTCTGGCACTGGCTCTCTGACTTTCTGATGACCGCCCAGACCCCTTCAACTCTGTGCTAAATCTATCAGGTCCTCAACCAGCTCACGTGACTGCAAAAACAGACCAGAAGCCAAATGCATTATGTTCTTAACACCCCATATTCATGGATGCAAACAGAACACCATGCTTTTCCAAATTAAGCCACATATTTCTATAAGGCATTGTAATAAATGTATTAACGACATTTACCATCTTAGCTTTTAGGTCCCCTTGTCTAATACAAGTTATTTCTTTATTTTCCTAAATCTATCTTGAACTTGTCTCTTCTCTCTGATCCTTTGAACGACTTTGAGCTCTGAAACCTCCTATGCCCACGCAATTACCAGGCAATAATGGTAAGTCAAGGGGTCTTGGAGGGTGGCTAGGATACAGGGACATTCCCAAGGCTGTTGTGGTCTATGGCTCCAGAGGGCGCCCCACGGTGGTCAGCACTAATCTGTACAGCTCTTTGTGCAAATTAGAAAAAGAAGTGCCCTCTGGATGGTTGGGTTAGTCAAGATGCCACTTGGAGCAGATTCTAAAATAGCACAGATGTTGAAGCATCAGGAAATACAGTTGATCTTAAAAACGTGATTAATACATCCAGCCATCCCAAACACATCATTAATTTTTCTAAAACTCAGCTATGAATATCTCACTTGCCTGTTCACCCCACTACCCAGAGATTGAATTCTGGCCAAGGTATCAGGAGGCCTGCATCCTAATCTTTACTTTGAAACTAACTTGTGTTGTGAGCTTGCACTAGAGGTTTGCACAGCTAAGACCTCTGCTGTGCCTGAGCTTCGGGTCCCAGGTGCAGGTTCCGAAATGGAGATAGAGGACAGAATTGTTTTAGATCACTGGAAGACTCCAATTTTCTCTGTAACCCTGAGCTCTTGGTTATATGGAAAGAAGCCTAACTCATAATAAGGAAATACTCATTCCAGTTTTCAGCTATCATGTTGAAGGTGAGCAAAATGTTTCATTAAAAAAAAAAACAAAACGGCAAAGGATTTGGGAAATATCTTGTATTTGTTTCTAATTGAAGTATAATTAACATATAATATCCTACTAGTTTCAAGTGAATATAATCTCATATGTAGGCTAGGAATGAGTGCAACGTCTATAGAGGGCAATTGGCAATTCTTATAAATATAAAAAGAATGTATTCACTTTTTGCCCTAGAGTGATGAAATATACCTGGGATTTATTTTAATCAGGTATGATAAGACATACAGACATGGAAATGATTGTCATGGAGGAAGAACATTATACTCACACACTCCTAGAAGCAAGAGGTGGGGGAGACAAGAGGGAAGAGCTTGGCCCAGAGTCTTTATTGGTGTTTTCATGGGAAGGAGTGGGTGAGGTAGGTACACAGAGTAGTGGATAGTTGGAATGATTTTGGTGGGCTCTAGGCTATAGGAGTGGTTCCTAGTTGTCCAGTACCTGGTCCGGGGATAATTTAGGTCAGGGGAAACATTGGCTTGGTGTGTGAGAGTTTGATAAAGAAGGTGGCTGAGGGTGTGGGCTCTGGATTGGTTGGTTTATATCAAAGGCACACTTGCAGGGGAGTTGTTTGCAATCTGTAGCAAATAGCCCTGGGAGGGTTGGTCTGTCCAGGATCAAGCCGGTAAATGCCAGAGCATCAATATACAGAAAATATGGGCATCTGTCTGGTTCATTTGGTGGAGTGTGTGACTCTTAGTCTCGGGCTTGTGAGTTCAAGCCCCATGCTGGGTGCAGAAATTACTTAAAAGTAAAATATCTTTAAAGAAAATTAAAAAATATGGGGAACACACAGAGGGTTACTGGAGGGGTTGTGGGAGGGGGATGGGCTAAATGGGTAAGGGGCATTAAGGAATCTACTCCTGAAATCATTGTTGCAGTATATGCTAACTAACTTGGATGTAAATTAAAAAAAAAGAAATAAAATAATTTGGAAGGACAAAAAAATAAAAATAAAAAAATATATAGCCAATATACCTAGAAGTTTCATTTCTTGGACATTTTATTTAAAAATGTGTTTCTCATTTACCTAGCACACGTACTCTCCTTCTGCTTGGTGACTTTCTCATCTATTTTTTCTGCTCTGCAAAACCCCCATCATGTTTACCTCAGCCTCACCCTCAGGGGATGCCCTTGTTACCTCCATCACTGGCAAAATACAAGCGGTCAAAACAGAGTATCGTCACCCCACCCCCATCCCCGCTCCATCTACCTGCAATTGCACCCTCTTTCTCTGCCTTCCTTCGGGTCCAGCCCAAGGACTAGCCCTGCGGGTGTGCCAACTTCCAGCTCCGCCAACCCTCCGCACTACCGGAAGTTCTCTCCCCATTTCCTGTGGTATTGCAATTTAACATATCACTTCCCTTCTCCTGTGGACATGCTGCTGGTTCTCCCATCTGAGAAAGCAAAACCCATCTGTGGATCCCTCAGCCCTTCTGGGAGCTGCCCTCATTTCTCCCCCTACAACACCAGAGTTCCTCAAAAGAGTTGCTAAAACTCACAGTCTCCAATTCCTTTCCTCCTCTTCTCTCTTGAACTGTTTCGGTCACTCTGGCATTCCCCCCCTCCCCACGTGGCTAGCACCGCTGTGGTCTAGGTCTCCAGTGACCTTCCTGTGGCCAAACCCAGCGCCAGTTTTTAGTACTCACTATACTGAAACCATCTGTAGCCCATTTTTTTTTTCTCCCTGCCCCAGAATTTCATTGTGAAAGCCTGAAAGCATACAGAAGGGTAGAGAAAACCATAGAATGAACACCCATATTTCCCACGTTTGAGGTCTGCAATCAAGCATTTTACACCGCTAGGCTTTTCACACTCCAGGTTCTTTTTGTCAGGCTCAGGTGACCTTTCATTGATGGGTGAAACTCAGGGCGTTTTTCAGTTCAGTTGCTGAACTCTTTCTGTGCTAGGGAAGGGACAGACAGTGAGGGAAGGCCAAGTGTAGGACGAAGAGTAATCACCTCAATTTATCAAGTTTTACAAGTGGCTGAATAATGTACTTACTTTGCCAATTGCTCTTTTGTCCAGTTTGTACAAACATAACTCTCTGGTTACTATTTTTTTTAATCCCAGGTAATGGGAAGGGTGATACACATAACCCTATAAAGACTAACAGGAGTCTAACAACCTATGCAGCACCCCTGAACGCTGATACCTGGAATGCAGGTTTGTGGAATTGCATTCACTTTTTTACATTTATTTATTTATTGTGTGTGTGTGGGGGGGGGTGAGACAGAGAGAGAGGGAGACAGAATCCAGAAGCAGACTCCACGACATGGAGCCTGATGCAGAGCTCCAACTCATGAACAGTGAGACCATGACCTGGGCTGACGTTGGTTGCTTAACCGCCTGAGCCACCCAGGTGCCCCTGGAATTGCATTCGGAATCTCCTTAAGGTATCATCTCAGCACAGTGCTGCACACCCCGGACCATGAGTGCAGCACCCAAGTCGTGAAACTAAAGCCACTCTCCTTTCAGCTACAGGGACAGCAGGTGCTGCTGTACTGAGTCAGGGGTCCTGTATCTCTACAGAGTAAAAGAGGGTTTTGACAAAGGACAAGAGCCAGAGAAAGAAAAAGGAGTTAGGGATTACTTTATGCTGCAGTTCAAATTATATATGTTCCCTGTGCAATGTAGCCTCCATATTTTTAAAAATTAAGGATGCTGTTTGTTATGGTACTTCTGATTTTGTCTCCCATTCCCCTTTGGAATAACAATATGCTTAACAAATATATTAACCGATAGACACAAGTAAAATGAAATCTTTTCTTTCCATTTTTAGCACTGATTCCACGTAGACCTGCTCTTGTTCAAGTAATTGTGATTGCGTGTATAGCCTTCAGCATTGCTCTAATATGTGGAATCAGTATTTCCTATGTGATATAGTAGGTATATACTAAGTAACATTTACCATCCTTAAGTAAGACATAATAGATTAACTAGGTTATTATTTAGTAATGATAATGATAATAATGATGATGATAATTCTTATAATCATTAAAGTATTATGGTCATCCTGAATTTCCACATCAGGGTTTTTCAGAATATGCACTGTACTCATGCTGGGTCATAATATAAATGGAAAAAAGTGAAATAGGACAGAATACAATTTAGTAGGATAGAAAATATTAGAAAGCATTACAAGTCTTAACATAAATGCTCATTTTTTAACTTTTCAGACAAACAGATACACAGTTATGAGGTAAAACATATTTCTTACTGTGGATCATGGTCAAAATGTTTGAAAACCACTGTCTGAGATGATGGCATCCTTCCAAAACATGGTGTTCTAAAGTGAACTTGATACTTTGGAAGGAACCTTAGTGCAAAGCAGAAAAGAGTGATCACTCTCTTTTTCGTTAGATATTTATTATCTAGGAAAACAGTAGCATTTGGGGAAGATACTTCATCTTGTTTGCACAAATAAAGTTTGTGGTCAAACTCTTTTAAGTGATGTGATCATTTTGAAATTAGTATTAGACAAAAATGATCTGCACTGTGACATGATGCTACTCTGACCAGAACTATATATACTGATTCCTTCTCCAGGATTCAGTGCTGGGATTCCATTATATCCCATCAGAAACAGTGTAGGCGCCTGGATGGTTGGGTTGGTTGAACCTCCGAATTCAGCTCAGGTCTTGATCTCACAGTTCTCATGAGTTCAAGCCCTGCATCCGGCTCTCTGCTGTCAGCACAGAGCCCACTTTGGATCCTCTGTCCCCCCCACACTCCTGCTCCTCCCTGAATCATGCTTTCTCTTTCAAAAATGAATAAACACTAAAAAAAGATTGCAAAGATAATGATTCTTAAAAAAAAAAAAACAGCTTGAGGAAGTAGTAAATTACTTGCTCTATTGGAATTGAGTATGAACACAAAGAACCTGTTGCCATGTGTTGGGTATTTTAAGGTGGCCACTTTAGGACCACTTCACAGTATGTCCAGTGAAGGCAAATAAGACTAAAGGTAAAGTTGAAGACATTTACTAATGAGAGAGTGTAAGCAGCATGTTTAGTTCTGGGACATCTAGTGCGGTGATCTTTCACTCAATTTATGTCATTGCAATTTCAGTTTCTTTTCAGTAGTGTACACAAAGATGTTAGCATACATAGAGTTTTCTATGAGAATTCCCTCAAATGTATCCTCCAGGACTTGCAGTGTCCAATTAAGTTGCTGAGCTAATGTCAACTCTTACAGCTTTTACATTCATGCTACTCATAGGCCACAACAAGTTATTTTAGAGCATGAGGCAAAAGGAAAAATACGTGTTCCAAAGTTACATGTTTTTTTTTTTTAATATTTTCTTTTTTTTTTTTAACGTTTATTTATTTTTGAGACAGAGAGAGACAGAGCATGAATGGGGGAGGGTCAGAGAGGGGGAGACACAGAATCTGAAACAGGCTCCAGGCTCTGAGCTGTCAGCACAGAGCCTGACGCGGGGCTCGAACTCATGGAGTGCGAGATCATGACCTGAGCCGAAGTCGGCCGCTCAACTGACTGAGCCACCCAGGTGCCCCTTTTTTTAATTTTTTAAAATTTATTTTGAGAGAGAGAGAGAAAGTGTGAGCAGGGGAGGTACGGAGAGGAGAAAGAAGAGAGCAAGAATCCCAAGCAGGCTCCACACTGCCAGCCCCAATGCAGGGCTCGAACTCACAAACTGTGAGATCATGACCTGAGCCTAAGTCAGAGCCACCCAGTCGCCCCAGCAAAGTACATGTTTTCATGTAATTTTTAGTGGTGAATTTTTTCCAGAAGAGATTTTGAAAATACTGTTGGTAAGTTTCATTCATTTAAACTAGGAAGGTAAAATTATAATAAACTCTGTTTCTTGAATAGATAAAATATTTAAACTTAACATAAGGTGAGTTTTGATACACTACTTTTCACATTGGTAATACATTATCAACTTTAGTGTTTTGGAAAAGAATATCCACTTAAAAACACAAAAAACATGTATATAGGGACTCACATCTTTCTTTTGACTCTGGTTCCCATATGGTTCATCACAGCACTGTTGGATCTTATGTTTATTTAAAATTTTGATATTTGGTTTATCATGGATTTTTTCCCCATTCATTTCAACTTGTTAAAAGATTGAGCTCAAATATTTATCATCACTACTGAGTTTTTTGGCACCCCCTTAAATTTTATAACTGGAATCAAGACATTGTGATGAGACCAGGATTTGGATGATTACTGTTTTTTAAATTTTTTTTTTCAACGTTTATTTATTTTTGGGACAGAGAGAGACAGAGCATGAACGGGGGAGGGGCAGAGAGAGAGGGAGACACAGAATCGGAAACAGGCTCCAGGCTCTGAGCCATCAGCCCAGAGCCCGATGCGGGGCTCGAACTCACGGACCGCGAGATCGTGACCTGGCTGAAGTCGGACGCTTAACCAACTGCGCCACCCAGGCGCCCCGGATGATTACTGTTAATCATGTTTAGGATCAGACCAGTTCTTCCTGATTATGTATGTCAAACAGAATTAGGAAGATATGTATATTAGCAAAAAGGAAATCCCTCTATTACTCCTTTTCATATCAAACAGAAGTAGCTGCTTGAACATCCAATTCCAGGGCTGGATCTAGAACGCAGTGAGCAAGGCACTCACCTCGGGTGCAAAATTTAAGGGATTGCCAAGAAATTCAGTCATCAAGATGAATAATATTTTGATTCAATATTTTATAAAACCTAAATTTATTTCAAAAAATATCCATGATGAACAAAATGCCAACATTTTGTTTTGTTTTTATTTTTTGAAGTTTATTTTTATTTATTTTGAGAGAGAGAGAGAGAGAAGGCTGGGTAGGGGCAGAGATAGAAGGAGAGAGAGAGAATCCCAAGCAGGATCCTAGCTGTTAGTGCAGAGCCTGACACGGGGTTCAAACGCACGAACTGTGAGATCATGACCTGGACTGATATCAAGAGTTGGACGCTTAACCTACTGAGCCACCCAGGTGCCCCCAAATTACCAACATTTTAAATATAGCCTCAGTAGCAGTGCTAGGCCAAGCCATGTTAGAGAGTGAACAAAAGGAAAAATCCCTAGTACCTGTATGGACTTTATTTAAGAATGTTGATATTTTGTTCATTGTGGATTTCTTGGCATTCATTTTTCTTTAGTAAAATATTGCATTATGATATTATTTATCTTGAATATACTATTTATCTTGATTATGGGGTTTTGTACCCCACATGAGTTCCTTCCTCACCTCACCCAGTCCTGGCTGGGAACCACATTTGGCATTGTCAGTTACTCTTTTTCTGCCTATCAGCGCCCATTGGAGAGCAATCTGTTTCTGCCTCCCTCCCCCGCCTACTATCATGTACCAGTGACTCCTATTCAGTCAAAAGTCACAGGATTAGATGTGATAATTTACTGGGGCACTTGGGTGGCTCAGTCAGTTAAGCATTTGACTTTGGTTGGGGTCTTGATCTCACGGTAGCTTGTGAGTTTGAGCCCCGCATCGGGCTCTGTGCTGACAGCTCAGAGCCTGGAGCTTGCTTCGGATTCTGTGTCTCCCTCTCTCACTGCCCCTCCCCTGCTTGCACTCTGTCTCTCTCTCAAAAAGAAATAAACATTAAAAAAAAATTCCTCTACATTATTCTCCAGTCGGCTGGTCCAGGCTGAGGAAAGACAGCAACTTGCCTGGCTTTATAACAATGTCAGGATACCATTACTGGGAGACAAGGACGAGGGTTCTGAGGATGAGAGCCAGGATGAGTCCACCTACCTACTTCCAGAGAATGAGAAGGAGCTGGAAAAGTTCATTCACTCAGGTGAACACCCGACCCACCGGTTTATCTTGTCAGATGCAAAGTCACGTGAAAGCTGAGCGGGCAGTGATGGTTTGGTATTCAAAGGCAAAGTTGGGTGGGATTTAATGGAGTTTGAGGTAATAAAGGTGAATATTCATAGCCACACCTACATAAATGAACTGTTCTCATCAAATTATACAGAGGGGCAAATAGCCACGGACTGCAATTCCCAGGACCAAACACAGAGTTCAGGAGACAAAACTTGCCCCAGACCAAACACTTATCAGTGTGGTGTTATTGCTGAGCCTAGAACACAGCTAGACAGATGTCCTTCTTGCACAGTCTGCCTCCACCTGATGTGGGAATAGGATCCAGGTGCACAGAACAGACCCTTGTGTGCGAGATGCTTACCATGCCTGCAAATCTTTGTGAGGAGAGGGCAGCACATGTGTTCATATGAACCTGCTTTTGTAGGAGTTCAGGGATTCTTGGATACTTGCTTTAAAAAATTCTAGAGCAAAACTATGTAGAGTGCAGTGTCTGATTCAACCACGTCTGTCATCCCTTGTATGCATCTCCTCTGTAACGGTCCCTGATGCGACAGTCAGAGACAGGCTGCAAGGCCAGGAGTATGGTGGTCAGTGATGCTCACTGATGCCAATGCTTACCCTTAGGAAATGGTTTTTCAATGTCTTTTCCTTACATTGAAGTATAAATTTTTTTTAAGTTTTTATTTAAATTCCAGTTGGTTAACATACAGTGTAATAGTAATTTCAGGTACACAATATACATCAGCGCTTCTATATATCACCCAGTGCTCACCACCAGTGCCCTCCTTAATCCCCATCACCTACATAACCCATCCTCCACCTGCCTCCCCTCTGGTCGCCAGCAGTTTGTTCTCTATAGGTAGGAGTCTGTTTCTTGGATTGCCTCCCCCTCCTTCCCCCCACCTTTGCTCATTTGTTTTTCTTAAATTACACATATGAGTGAAATCATATGGTAGTTGTCTTTGTCTGACTGACTTATTTCACTTAGCAGGATACAGTCTAGTTCCATCCATGTCATTGCAAATGGCAAGATTTCATTAATTTTTATGGCTGAGTAATATTTCTTTGTATCTATATACTACATATTCATTCATCAGCCAACATTCTTTTTTTTTAATTCATTTTTTGAATTTTTTTTATTAAAAAAATTTTTTTTTAACGTTTATTTATCTTTGAGACAGAGAGAGACAGAGCATAAACGGGGAGGGGCACAGAGAGAGGGAAACACAGAATCTGAAACAGGCTCCAGGCTCTGAGCTGTCAGCACAGAGCCCGACGCGGGGCTTGAACTCACGGACTGTGAGATCATGACCTGAGCTGAAGTCGGACGCTTAACCGACCAAGCCACCCAGGCGCCCCTCTTTTTTTTTTTTTTTAACTGGGCATTTATAAAGCCTGTGTATAGGAAGTGGGAAAATAATTTTATTTTTTTGGGGGGGAATAATTTTAAAATTCAAATTTCACCATCTTTTTCAGACAGATAGCTTTCATTATATCTTGAAAATTCTATTGTTTGTACCTTAATTTTCCCATGTTTTCCCTTACCTCTTTTGTCTCTATTCCTCATTTGATAGTATCTCAATAACATCATGTCTACGTTTTAGTTATTAGATCCAAAAGAAGAAAACATATGGAAAACAGACTGAATAAAGAACAGTCGTTATCAAGGGAAACAAGTCTAGATAATTCTATGCAGAGTGTGAGCCCGGAGAATCTGTGAGAGCAAATGAAAGAGACGCAGGATGCGCTAGCCAGCGTGGAGCCCACGGCTGCAGGGACAACCCACGATGGGGGACCTGAGTATGACTTACTCCTGGAGAGTTCTGTTCAGAGCACTCTAGAGAAGCCAACTGGAAGTATTTAAGAGAAAATAAATCCATATGCACAACAATTCTTGCATAGTTCATTAATAATTATAACTTAATTGGAAAAGAGAAAAATCCAATTTCATATGTACAAAAGAGAAATTCTCAGAATTTTCTTTATCTTTTTTCTCAAAAAAATTTTTTTAATGTTTTTCAGGATTTTCTTTTCTTGCTCCTGAACAGAAGCACAAATCATTTCTTTGGGCACATTCCCAGGCCATGCTAAGGGATCTCTCTCATGATATAAAAGTTTTCCAGGGATATTATCTATCAGTTCCAGCACCTTGTCTCCGTTTTACTCAAAAGGAGACTGAAAATATCAAAATAGACACCACACTGGATTAAAATGCAATCATCCCTGTTTTTAAGGAGCTGGGCCCTGGTAAAGAAAAAGGGTCTGCAGGCAAGTTGCTGTAAAGCACGGCCAGATGTGTTGGCTGCTGCAAAAGCTGGGAGCTATGGAGAGGTACGGAAATACAAGAGTCAGGGCTCAATTCACATGGCTCAGTGCTTTGGAAAATGGTCTGATGGTTCCTCAAAAAGTTATACACAGAGTCACTATATGATCCAACAGTTCCACTCCTAGGGTTATATCCAAGAGAATTGAAAACACACACAGAAAAACCTAAACACAAATGTTCACGGCAATGTTATGCATAAGAGCAAGAAGGCAGAAACAACCCAAATGTCTCGTCAACTGATAAAAAGATAAAATGGGAATCTATCCATACAATGGAATATTCCTCAGCCAGAAGAAAGATAGAGATATTGATACATCAGGGTTGTCTGGGTGGCTCACTTGGTTAAGTATATGACTCTTGATCTCAGCTCACGTCATAATCTCATGGTTTGTAGATTCGAGCCCTGCATGGAGTTCTGCGCTGACAGTATGGAGCCTCCTTGGGATTTCCTCTCCCTCTCTCTCTTCCCTTACCCCACTGGTGTGCCCTCTCTCTCTCTCTCTTAAATAAAAATTAAAAAAGAGGGGCACCTGGGTGGCTAAGTCAGTTGAGCATCCGACTTTGGCTCAGGTCATGATCTCACAGTTCAGGAGTTTGAGATCTGTGTTGGGCTCTGTGCTGACAGCTCAGAGCCTGAAGCCTGCTTCGGATGCTGTGTCTCCCTCTCTCTCTCTGCTCCCCCCCCCCCACTCATGCTCTCTCTCCTGTCTCTCAAAAACAAATATATGTTAAATTTTTTTTAAATAAGAAAAAGAAATATTGATATATCTGCAACATAGAAAAACCTTGAAAACATGCTAAATGAAATAAGTTAGACACAGAGGTCACACATTGTATGATTTTGTTTATACAAAATGCCCAGAATAATCAGAGGCAGATCTACAGAGGCAGAAAGTGGATAAGTGTACAGGAACTGGCTGAGGGGAGAAAAGGAAATGACTGCTGATGGCTGTGGGGTTTCCATTTGGGGCAATGAAAACGTGAAAATGTTTAAAAATTAGCTAGTTGTGGGGCACCTGGGTGGCTCAGTTGGTTAAGCATCCAACGTAAACATCTGTGTCTCCTTCTCTCCCTCCCCCACCCCTGGTCGAGCTCTGCCTCGCTGTCTCTCTCGCTGTCTGTTTGTTATTATTTTCAAAAATAAACAAACATTAAAAATACATTTTGCTCTTTGGAAAATATTTGTTGAGTGGCCACCATGTGCTGGCAGCTTATTCATATGATAGACAATGTGGCCAAGCAAGTTTAAATATTTCTCAATAAATATTATGACTTCTGGATTACCTGTAGTGTACAATGTATCTGAAGGAGTAGGTACCAAGTCTAAGAAACTCTCTGCCAGTGCCATCTGGTTATGCCCTATAATTTTTAAATTTTCTTTATTATTTAATTTATTTTTAAATTTATATCCAAGTTAGTTAGCATATAGTGCAACAGTGATTTCAGGAGTAGATTCCTTAATACCCCTTAGCCCATCCCCCGTCCCACAACCTCTCCAGTAACCCTCTGTTTGTTCTCCATATTTAAGAGTCTCTTATGTTTTGTCCCCCTCCCTGTGTTTATATTATTTTTGCTTCCCTTCCCTTATGTTCATCTGTTTTGTATCTTAAAGTCATCATATGAGTGAAGTCATATGATATTTGTCTTTCTCTGACTAGTTTTGCTTAGCATAATACCCTCCACTTCCATCCATGTAGTTGCAAATGGCAAGATTTCATTCTTTTTGATTGCCGAGTAATACTTCATTGTGAGTGTGTCTATACACACACACACACACACACACACACACACACACACACACCACATCTTCTTTATCCATTCATCCATCAGTGGACATTGGGCTCTTTCCATACTTTGGCTATTGTTTATAGTGCTGCTATAAACATTGGGGTGCATATGCCCCTTCGAAACAGCACACCTATATCCCTTGGATAAATATCTAGTAGTACAACTGCTGGGTCGTAGGGTAGTTCTATTTTTAATTTTTTGAGGAACCCCCACACTGTTTTCCAGAATGGCTGCACCCGTTTGCATTCCCACCAGCAGTACAAAAGAGATCCTCTTTCTCTGCATCCTCACCAACATCTGTTGTGCCTGAGTTGTTAATGTTAGTCATTCTGACAGTTGTGAGGTGGTATCTTATTATGGTTTTGATTTGTATTTCCCTGATGATGAGTGATGTTGAACATTTTTCATATGTCAGTTTGCTGTCTGGATGTCTTCTTTGGAAAAGTGTCTATTCATATGTTTTGCCCATTTCTTCACTGGATTATTTGTTTTTAGGGTGTTGAGTTTGATAAGTTCTTTATAGGTTTTGGATACTAACCCTTTATCTGATATGTCATTTGCAAATATCTTCTTCCATTCTGTCGGTTGCCTTTTAGTTTTGTTGATTGTTTCCTTCGCTGTGCAGGAGCTTTTTATTTTGATGAGGTCCCAATAGTTAATTTTTGCTTTTGTTTCCCTTGCCTCTGGAGATGTGTTGAGTAAAAAGTTGCTGCGGCCAATGT